TCATTTTAGCACTTGATCGCGCCATCATTGACCGATCTAGTAGCTAGAATCGGAAAACTCTGCAAAACGAGTTGAGCTTCAATGAACGTACCAGGGCCGTGTAACCGCCAGCCTTATAGGCCAAGGAAAAAAAAAAAAAAATAAAAAAAAAAAAAAAAAAAAAAAAAAAAAAAAAAAAAAAAAAAAAAAAAAAAAAAAAAAAAAAAAAAAAAAAAAAAAGAAAAAAAAAGGGTGGTGCATACAAGATACGGCAAAACAGAAGTCAAAACAACTGTGGATGAGAACAGATCATTTTAGCACTTGATCGCGCCATCATTGACCGATCTAGTAGCTAGAATCGGAAAACTCTGCAAAACGAGTTGAGCTTCAATGAACGTACCAGGCTCTGCAAAGCGACATATTGCTATTTAGGCGTAAGAAGGGACGAGTCACGCAATCAGTATAGAACATAGAGCGTCAAGGATTTCACAGGTCAACTTACAGAGAATGACTAGCTGCCGGACCGGCAGCCTTGGCTGTTTTTCTTGCATGAAGAGCAGTGGCAAATGCAATGGTCGAAATCTTTTATAAATGAGCTCTTGATAGGCAGTGGATCTCGAGCGAGAGCTATCAGAAAGGAAAGAAGCACAAAGAGAGGGAGAGAGGAGAGGAGTCAAACGCGAAAGAGCGGAGATGAAGAGGTGAAACGGACATAAAATTGATGATAGTCATAAAGAAAGAAAGTCGCAGCAGTGGAGACAAAAGACGGGGTTTGGTGGGTCAAGACAAACGTACAGAAACAAGAGTCAGTCATGCTTTTGTTTGACCCGTGACTGTCTCCATTCAGCAAGGGCTTCCACTAACTATCGGATTCTTTTCCGATCTTTTAGTCAAGAACATCTTTTTCACTCCGCTTTTCAATCACTCGTATTGAATGAAGACCACAGCCTCTCATTCTCCTTTCTTTGTCTGACATCTCTGGGTAATAGGCCCAGATCCTTGTAACGTGCATCTGCAACCATGACTGAGAAGGTATAGTACCAAACTGTGCAGGAAGATGGATTGGTGAAGTCCTACGGTGAAGTTCTAGTACGACGCAAGGTCAGCTGCTATATACATTCCTAACACCCAACACTACGTCACATCCTCCCTATCCGACTGGCTCTGAAACCGAGATTGTAGATGATGATCTCAGCTCAGCTTTCTCCTGCCAATCTACCCAACCCCACAAGATCATCTATATCATTGAAGCACTTTCGTAGCGGCCTCCAGGCGCTCGACGATGATAGAGCGCCATTTCTAATAGAAAACCCACGTTAGCGTCGTCATCATAAAAGCTTAGCAGCGTGTTTTCTTCCTTACCTGGGCATTTGCTGAATCACCGGCATCAAAACTCTCCACCAACCCAGGGTACGTCGCACCCGCGTATCCGGTCCACAGGCCAGGCGCAAACACCACATGTTTGAACCAGTGGCGCCCATCGAGTCCGGGTTCGTACAAGAAAGCCCGTTCAAGGGCCTTGTACTTGTCGTTAGCCACACGGATCTGGAAGTAGAGCCTCACCTTCTTCCACCACAGGTACCAGGGGAGATTTTCATCCAACTGGGAGGCCAGGTCAGCGGCATAGGCGTCAAATTTCTTAGCCGTAGCCTGGAACTCGGCCACTGCCCTGTCCAGAGACCCAAAGTCGAACTCGCCACCAGGCAATTTCTTTGCGCCGGGCTTGATCTTCTCCAAATATTGACCGAGACCAGCACTATAGTCAGACGCACTAAAGGACAGTACAGGGGCCTCGACCAGCTTGGCAGCAGCCAGAGACCAGAGCTTAGTGCACGCTTCATGATAGAGCCAACCAGGATCCCCAAATCGATCCATCCAGTCGAAGCTATCATAGTTGGAGTGGTAGTGGTATACGGGGTCCTTGGGGCCACGGCCGAAGCCCAGGTCAAGGCTGGCCACGCCCGCAAAGTCCTGGAAAGCAGTGAAGTCACTACCGCTACCCATGGTTGCAATGTAGCCATCCCAGACATCGCGTACTGTTTGGCCTTCAATGGTCTGGTTGGGAGACTGGACAAGGCTAGTAACCTCATAGATCAAACTGTTCAGGAGCGGGGCCGCCCGAGGACCAAGGACCGTCCCAGAGGCAGCTACGTCAACATTGAGATAGGCAATATTGGCTTTGGAAAGCCAAGGAAGCTTGTCTTCCACCCACTCTGTTGACCCTAGCAGCCCATACTCTTCTCCGTCCCAGCTGGCAAAGACGATTGTGCGCAATGGCTTCCACCCTGCCTTCAGAGCTTCGCCAAAGCTGCGAATAACTTCATTGAGGACAGCGGAGCCACTATTTGGGTCTCCAGCACCACCGGCGATCCAAGCATCCCGGTGATTACCCAGAATGACCACCTCGTCAGGGATAGCACCCCTGATAGTGCCAATGACATTCCACAGAGGGGTAGTTACGTATTCTTGTTGATTGTCCAAGTTGATTACGACATCATCCGGTGAAGGGCCAATGTTATATTCAACGCCCTTGCTGCCAAGTTTTCCACCTTGCCAACCCTTAGGGAAGTCCGCTGCTTTGGGACCATGTCCATTGAGAGCCTTCAAGAAAGGTATGGCCTCTTTGTACGAGATTGGAATCGAAGGAATGGATGGGATTGCATCACTAGGGTCCTTACGGTCACATCCGGGCTTGGATGGCCAACCAGGTGTAGTCGGGTCGCCGGGTGCAAAGCCTACGTCACCCAAATAGTTAATCAACTGCGGCCAGTTCTCGATTTAGCACATGAGCGCTGAAGGGACTTACTCAGGAATTGGGTGCTACCCCGTTGCACAGCACTAGGATTCCGGGCCGGACCCTCGGGGTACGGCTTGTATCCGTTCTCCTCTGTAACCTCACCATCGTCTTCCGGATCGTCATACAAGATCACACCCACCATACCCAGCTCCTGTGCGCGCTTCACCTTCAGCCCACGGAAGATGTGACCATACTTGGCGATCGCAATCTTGCCAGCAAGACTGACATTGGCATCAACCAAATCTTGGTAATCCTGATAAGAGCCGTAATTAACGTATACAAATGGAGCAGTGACATTTCCAGTGGCAGAATAGCCATGGAAAGTAGGCACGCGATCAGGCAGACCACTGGTGCCATCCTCTTCTAGGACGTCTTCCTCTAGGGTAGCCTCGAACGTAACTTCGGTCTTGTCCTTAGATGTCTTAAGCAGAGCCAGGCGGTGCTCCAGAGGGTAATTGATGTAGACATCGTAGGCCACGATGTCGGTGTCCTGGATGCCAAACTCTTGCCAGCGCTCCTGGGTCCAGATCGCCTGGCTCAGGTTCTTGCCGGCGAGATGAGGCCCCGCCGTATAGTAGCTGCTCCATTCCCGCGCTTTTTCGGCGGACGGAGTCGTTTGAAGAATTGCCTGCAGCTCTTCATATGTGAGACCGTGGCCCTGAGGCCAGGCTTTATGGGGGAACGGGTGCGCCCCAGGGAAATAAGACCAGATGGAGCCATGCTCCCGTGGGAAGATGGCCGAGGGAAGGAGGAACAAGAACAGAGAAATCACGAGTAGTGTTCCGAGAGTGAAGCTACAGAACTGTCGTAGCTTGTGGTGGGGGTACCGGTGCCGCTGGGGAGCGACGTTGACCACCTGCAGAAGAGGCGTGGATTCGGAGGGCGCCATGGTATGTGGCATGGACTTCTCCCTCATCTCGGGGGGCATGGTTTCAACTAAGTGAATTGAGGAAATCGGAGGGAATCGCGGTCAGACATGGAACAGACGATCGCTCGCATTGATCGATCTGGGTGGTTAAGTGACAGCTCTCCTATGCGGGATTGGAGAAACGGTGAGGGTTTGAGGGCGGCGTCTGGAGTGGCTTTTTATCTAATCGGAGTCCTTAACTACGTAATGGACAGTCATTGGGTCTCTTTATCGGTTCCGTGCGGAGTCCGGTAGCAAAAGCGGAGCTCAAAGCTTATCTATCATCTTTCAGTACTTACTTTCTGTACCGTATTTGCCGAATACCCGTTTGACAGTTTACATACACCATACTGTAGAAATCCTACATCGGTTACTATGTAAGCGACGACCCGGTCGCCTTCTTAGTTGCATTGGCTGCTCTTGTAAAGATTAAGTCCGTACATTGAAACCCACGAATCGCACGCCATACATTGCGTATATGAGGCAATCTTCCATCATCAACACCATTGAAAGCACAAAAACAACACATAAAACACAAACACAAGTGGTATCACGTGCCACGCTTTTCTTATATACAATCAAGACCAGACACATCGTATGCGACGGGAAAATCAACAAAGAAAGAAAGACATAAAGAAGAACACATGGTTACAGTTACAGATCAACTGAACGCCCCACAAGTTCTTCGGGAATCGGAACCTTGTCGTTCAATGCGAAGTTTAGCTTTTCACCAAGATCGATGCTGTCGCGCAAGATCTGCCGAGCGGCCTCGTCGCTGACCCCCATGTCTTCCTTGACCAGCCGGACCGCCAATTCAGGCACGAGCACAGCTTGGGCGTAACCCACAACGCCAGCCGACTTCACAATGTGGTCGCTGGCGGCCAGGCGGCGTAGTTTACGCGAGAAATGTGTGGTCAATGCTTGTAACCTGTCCAACCCTTGCATTAGCATCGGATAAATCACAATTCTGGGAGAGTATCAGAAATATATCTCACATTTTACCGGAGCCTCGAGTACCGTAATAACCGCAAGAGATCGTCTCCAAACCATCTCCCTCTAGTGTCAGCCGGAAGTTCTTGGCTTTTCCAGCCTTTAACGTGGAATCCAGGATGTTTCGGTAATAGGACTGGCTATCTGGAACCAGAAGGGTCTCCAAGTCGTCAAAATAGTTATGGATCCGGTCGTCGAACGTATCCCAATCGATAGCTGGGTAGCCCTTATCATGCCACTCTTTCTCGGCCGCGGTCTTCTTATGAGAATCGCAGAACCGCTGCTGTTCTCGGATGCGCTGTTTCGGCTGTGATTGAAATCGTAACAAGAGTTCTGGGTCCACAGGTTCTTTACACCAGGGACACAGAGACTCCTTCGGCTTCGGCGCATCACCTGCCTCATCTAGTAGTATGTCCTGTAGACCGGTCTCAGATAACTCGCTAAGCGGAGAGCTGAGGGGCGAAGCATCGTCATCATCCGTATCAAAGATAGCAGGTTCTCGAGCGGAGGAGGGCGCAAAAGAGGAGCTAGAGACAATATCATTTGGAAGAGGGGGAGGGGCCTTAAATTCCGCGGATGAGCGCGATTTAGATGGCGGACTTTTGATATCAATATCCTTGGGGACCTTAAATCCATCATCCTTCTGGGATTCCGTATCCACGTTCTTTATTTTCTTCCCAGCATTCGGCGAATCCATTTGTAAAGGCGTGCTCGGCTTTCTGGAATAGACTGTCGAGTTGCGCTTCTTCATGGACCCATACTCCGCCTTGTGCTTCTTTACACCTTGCGAAGACCACCCACACTCTGAAAAAGGATCGCCATTGTCATTCTCCTCGTTAACAGTAACTACATCTTTCAACGTCCTCTTACGACTCGAGCGTTGAGCTCTCGGACTGTCAATTCCTCTCTTCGATCGCGGGGTTCGTGATGGTGTTCCATTTTCTCTCGAAGTCTCAGCTAGTTTCTCCTCCAACGTTGGCCCTGGGCGACGAGGCGTGCGCTCATTCTCGAGATCGTCATCTAAACCGGCATTGCTCCAAGTTTCTTCTTCGCTGGAGCTCACCGGCTCATCGTCCGTGGCTGGTTCGGGCTTAGTAACAGGCTCAGGAGCTTCTTTGTCCTTGAAAGTCGAAAGAAGATGTTGCCCGTGGTAATTTTGTCTTGTCAGGCGGTTCGAGGCGTAGCTCGAGTCGGGCTTCGGCCGAGGGGTGACCATAGTGGCTTGGGTCGGGGAGTGGTTTGGAACGTGCGGCGTGTTTCAGGGCGGTTGCGCATTTGTTTAAATAAGGAAATATTGTATAGGGATTGTTTTATAAATGAATGGGAACAGAGAGTCAAGGCAATCGCTCGAGGAAATTGGGGGGGTGGCAGGAAGAAGAAGAGGAGAAACGCGTGTGGTGACACGCTATCGGTAACTCCGCATTAATTAAAATCAATTGAATTGCTAAGAATAAAATGTAAGGCGCAGCTGATCCTTGGCTTCGACTATTGAAGAAGATTTGACCGTCATTGATGGTTCATTTAATGTAGCTTCATCGATCTTTTATTCGGTAATCATATAGGAAAAAGAAGAATAATAATCTATGTGGCAAATGCAGCTAAGGGGTGTTGACAATAATCTAGACCGCGTCGTAAGACTCGGAACATCGTAATGGCTTGCAATCCTGACAAGAAATGAAGATGCGCTCAAGAATAAGAAAAAAAAAAAAAAAAAAAAAAAAAAAAAAAAAAAAAAAAAAAAAAAAAAAAAAAAAAAAAAAAAAAAAAGACTGAGGGAAAGAAAAGGGCTTATGAATTAATCACGATGCTGCATCGTGCCCTTGATTGAACAATATGCAAGAACAAAAAGATATGCACTCCCGACCAACACTCAATCAATAAATACGAAACCTGGGGTCTCCAATGCAGAATACGGTCAACGGTTCGCACCTTCTATGAAAGTGAATGATGAAAGTATGAGGAAGTAAAAGCAAACATTGGGGAAACAGAGGGTGAGAAAGAGAAGAAGTCGAAGATAGGGAAAGACAAGATACAAGAAAGGCAAGCCAACAGAAGACGAATGAAGCAAAAATTATTCGTACTTCACTGTGAATCAGACAACAAATAGCGTATAACCAAGCTTGGCAAATGCGTCTTCGTTCTAATCTTTATAGTCGTGGAACCACATCACTCAAAACTCATATGAATCTCACCTTCTTCCCCGTTCCCGATGTCGTGATCAGCCCAGGCATTGGGCTCGAGAGCCAATGCACCAAGTGCACTGGCACCGACACCAGCAGCAGCGCCAATACCAAGACCAGCTGGCGTCGTCAATGATGATCGCAGCTCTGGCCGTGTAGAATGGGCATCGTACGAAGTAGCAGTTGTGGGCTCATAGAATGAATGTGAACGGGGTGGTGGCTCATGATAGGAGGTGTCGAAAGTCATTTCTATCTCTTCTTCTTTATGTGTAGAAGGCTGCTGATCATGGGATGTGCTGGGCACAGAGTAAGGCTCAGGCGGCGACTGGGGCGCGGACTTGATGAGATTGGCAGCCTTAGTAGTATCTTTGCTATCTGACCGAGTCGGCGTAACTGGGGCTGAGCTGGACGGGGAATTCAAATCAAGCTTCATGGGAGGCAAGGTCGACTCGAGTTGCTTGACTTCAATACTTTCGGATGCAAGCTCGGCTCGGATCGCATCGATGTCGAATAACACGCTTCCGGTTCCGTTGCTGTCGCTCGAATCTCGCGGCGTGGCATTGTTTCGCTCCACGTCGTATGTTTCCCAACCTTTCTTTTGAGCCAACTTTCCTCGTTTGAACAAACCGAACCGTTTCTTTTCTGGTTTTGCCTCGGCTTCTCGTCGGGCCTCGTCGATCTCGCGGATAAGCTCTCTTTGTCGCTCGGCGTGGTTTTCTGGATCGGGGTCCTCGAGCTCTGCAAACTCGTCACCTAAGACTTCCCACCCAACCTCTTTCAACAGCCGGGGCATTGCTGCTCGGTAGTCCATATGACCGTTCACAAGCTTGGTAACGTCGAAGTTCTCAAGACCGGGGATCCCTTCCACTGGAGCGAGACCAGCCACACGCATAATTCCACCGCTGGTTGCACGAAAGAGATAGCCCAGGATCCAATCATTTGAGGAATACCCATTCACAAAGCGGCCAGATACCACACTACGAGCCTTCAAATATTCATCTTTGTTAGCCACAATAGGCGACCCGAATAGATAGACGTTCTGCACAAGCCCGTGGGCACCTCGATCTGCAAGCTCTTTTAGACAAGAAAAAATAAGCCGAGAGCCGAGAGAAAAGCCCAGGAGCGTGACAGGCCGCTTCCCAAGGTTGCGCTCCATCAAAGAATCAGCCAAAATCAGCCCAGCTGCGTTCGCGCGAGCCAATGAAACGATCCATGGGTTATCAATCAAGTACGAGAGTTTCGTAAGAACAAGTGGCAACTGCAGAGACGACATTAGAGCAACTAGAACAGTGCTTCCAAGGACTTGTTGCAACCCTTGAGTTAATGCCTAGGAAACAGTTAGCAACTCCCAGCGATATTTGTACATAATAAACACGTGCTGACACCTACCTCTGTAGCAAGAATGTTGATGGTATCTCCCATACTCCGAAGCATTTCAGGCTCCCAGAGAACCGAATATAGATCTCCCATTATAGGATCCACCGTACTAAAGGGTAATCGGACGTCATCCACCTTACCAGTCATCCAACCGGACACGGTGACAATCAGGTTGACTCTTTTGTTGTTGTGCAGGGGACGGTACTCGAAAGTCTGGACAGCTCCAGTACGTCTGTTGGAAGCCCTCAACCCAATCGTTCCTCCGGTCAGGGTGCCTCCAGAAGCAATAATCGCTGTACCTCCCACCCCTCCCAGGAATGCACCGGTTCCTGAGATTCCTACGGTGGTAAATCCAGCTGCAAGACCAGCACCAATCACTGGGGCCAACAACCCAGCGGAGAGACCAATGACCAGCCCCCCACCAACAGTGGCCAAGCCCATAACAATGTATTTCCGTTTCAAAGCCATCTTTCGGCGTTTTTCCATGTGATCCGACTCATCCCAGGTTTCCTTGGCCGCCTCTTCCTGCATTTCTAGAGCATCAACCACGCGCTTTTCGAACCGGGCAATCTGTAGCCAGGACACTTCCATAGACTCGCCTACTTTTTCAAGTAAGGACCGTGACCGCGCATCATAAGCCGAATCTGCAATGAGGACAAGGAAGAGATCACAGAGCACCGTCCACCGAAGATCTATATCGATCTTTGTCGACGTAGGAAGCTGGGAGGGGGTTCGAACTTCGGGAAGATCTTCGCCCTCGTGTGTCTCATACGGTGGAGGAGACGTTGACCTGTCAAAATCAGAGGATAGGCTACCTCGATATTCGTCCTTTAAGCTCGGAGTCGTGGGGGATGATAGGGATTTCTTCGGCGTGTCGACTTCGTCAGCTAAAGGATTCTTGACTCGAGCATTCTGCATGAGAGGCCGGACAAGATCTGCAGGTTGGACACCATGTTCCGCCAATTGTTCAATCATCACCTGCTCAGCGGCATCGATATCCATATGAGCATAAATCCGAGCCATTATTGTTTGGCCCCATTTACGCATCGAGTCAATGGTCTTTTGTCTCGCCTTGCGTGTACCCTTAGTTGAGGGAACCCGGTCCAGGTCTCTCGTCATCTGGAATATAGCTAATCTGGTCACCCCGACGTATGCTATCCTTTGACTCTCGGTCAGCAGATCCTTTGTGGCCTGCAATTGACTGACAGCGTCGCGCAGCTCTTCGCCTTCTACACCAGCAGAGTTGTGAGCGGCATCTTTAAAGAGATAGCTTGTATCTTCATCTAGACTTGTCGCCGACTGAGCGTCTTCATCAAGTTGCACTCGGGTGTAGCCCTTCCCGGCGCCTCCCAAGCCCTGGTACACTGCGTCATTATCCTCTGGTTTGGCACCACGAGCAACTAGCCTCCCGAAGTCGTCGTAAACATCGAACTCGTCAATAGCAGGCATATCCTGCCACCCACCGTCACTTTCTGCTTCATCCTCATCTTCTGAGTCTTTAGACTCATTAAGTCGCTGATGTGACCATTCCGATGCTTTCAGACTCGACCGTTTGCTTTTCACGGCATCCGACTGTGTAGAAGCAGAGGGGTTCTCTGTATTTGGCTTCTCTGTGTAAGGAGGTGGCGGGGGACAATCCTCCTGGTCAGGGAGGGGGTTACTAGCGGTGGCATGTTTTTCATTGCCCACAGGCACGCTTGAATCATTCTCTCGGGGAAGCTCAACAGAATGTGGCTCCACTACCGGTGGGGTTTGTGTCCTTTTCTCTTCGTCTTTGCCCTTGTCGACTGGTTTTGTGCTGTCTTCCTGGGGTGCTTCTGGCTTCGATTCATTTGTTACGGGCTTGCTCTCTTGTGAAGCTGGTTGATTATTACCCGTGCCCGAGACAGCCTCTTCAACATCATGAAATTCTTCATTATCCGATGATTCAGCCGAGCGTACAGGCCTAGCCCGAACCCGAATGGGCAGCCCAAACTCATCTACCTCTCCCGTTGTCGATTCTGCAGTCGGCCCACCCCCCGCATTGCCTCCGACCGGACTAGCATTTTCCTTCTGGGGATCGATATCGGGGGTTCCTGTACTGTTTTCTGCGGCCGTGGTCTGGGAATGCTCCGGTTCGTGCGAAACAGCTTGGGAATGATCGACGGCGGGGTCGCGAGAGTGGTCAAAAGTCGCACTGGAGGTCATACTTCATCGGTATTCCTAGGTTGAAATCGGCTTCAATCACCCAAATCCTTTCATTTACCCTTTAAACCACCGTGAAGATTCCCGCATAGACCACGCATAAGATCACCCATGCGCGCGAACGCACTGCCACGAATTTCCTAAGCTGCAATGTACTCACACTTTCCGAGCACGGACTGTGACGAGCTCAGACCGTAGGGGAGCTTAGTCGTACGCTGACCGTCGACAATATCGTTTGGGAAAAAAAAAAAAAATAGGACAGACGGTCGGTATAGATTCAGGGGAACGGGATTCCTCGTATGACACGGGGGGTTTTCACCGATAGGCAGCAGGAAGGAAGGAGTTAGAGGTCGTGGGGAAAAGCCGATCGGGTTTGTGGGGAGGGCAACGACCTCTGTTTTTCTTCTTTTCTTCTTTTCTTTTCTATCGAAATGTGTATCGTGGACAGCAACGATTCCGGTCTTGGCTGGGTAACAAGCCTCTCTGCGACCGGGGAGTGTGGTGCAATCGTCCCGAAAGCGGCAATGGAGTGGAATGAACCCGTGGTTTGCGGAAGAGAACCTTAAGGGACATGGTCAGTGAGGGCCTGTCACGTCAGTGGCTCTTTAGTGTGCCTCTCAGTGGGTTTTTATGGGTATTTTTAAACAATCCGCCCCCCCTCAATTGTTGTCAGCATTTGATCTTCTTTATATGTCATCAGAGAACTCTGTCAATCAATCTGATACATGATCGATTACCATTATGAATTAGGTTACATCCGATCAGATCGTGGTCTTTTTACTAGTCTATCGGCAATACTGAATGCGTTACCAATTGATACAGGTTTGGGACAGGTCGATTAGCTAATCCGAGGCCTCTGCGGAGTTGATTTCCTTGACTGACTTGTATATCAACTCCGTCGAAGGGTTGATGATATAAATGTGAACTCAAGCGATGCTCAACCATTTGAATCCCTATTTGAACCCTACGATCAAATTCGGAAATCACTCCAGCCATAGAACGAACGAGGCTGTGGGGGGTTTTTTTTTATACGAACTGGACATATAGCATTATCTAGAGCTTAAAGAAGGATTGTTAATCAGACAGTACTAATTATCAGAGACTTTTTTCAAGGAACTCATATCCTTCGTTCTCTCACAAATGTTTTTGACATGGCTACGTCACGAATCTGGTCTTGTCTTTATGGGCTGTGATAGATCTGGGCGCCAGTGTAGTTCATTTTATTTTCTCTATGTTGCTCTCTTATTGACCTTTTACTTTATTTTTAATTAAACTATATATGGGGGATTTGTCTCTTTCTCCAGGGGTAGGACCCCTCCTTTAACTATCTTCTAACTTGAATTCCAATGCCAGATGTAACAGTGGCTGTGTTGATTAGCTTAGGACTATCGAACTATTTTAACTTTTATTGCTAGGAAATAATGTGTACTATGAGCGAGTCTAATAAAAAATCTATTCATTTCCAGCCTATAACCATCGTAGAAATTGGAGCCGAACCCTCTTCTCGGAGCAAGAAATTAGGTGCTATGACTTGTGACTCTTGTCTGTCTACCTGTGCGTTAGCTCTGTTAGCCTGCCAGCCTGGGTCCGCACCTTGGGCATGTAGATGCTATCATTAATATGAATATATACTATAGCTATTTTCCTCTTGATGTCTATTAGGTACAAGTCAAGCGCTCTCCCACTGAGATATAGAGGCGTATATATATGAGGGCTTATCTATTTATGAGTCTAGACAGTTTTGGAGGAATAGGGGAGTGCCAGCAGCGTTTTTTAAAACATGTCAAAAGTCTTTCTTGTGTATCTTAAAAAGCTGTTATAGAGGATGTATCCTTTTAAAGCCGTTAGGTAAATACAATATTGCCACAGTAGATTTACAAAACCTCCGGTGCTAGAACCATGATGTAATAACTTTCCATGGCATATATTTTCAAAGAAAATTGTTATTTGGACCTCACATTAAGTTCTATATAGGAAGGCATAAGACTGTAGGTATATTGGTACTACTCTTAGTTGAGCGGGATTAGTGTAGAATAGGAATGTCGAACACACCTCAGGGCTCGAGAGAGCGGTTCTATGCACAGTAAAAAGATAGTTGGTTCGATAAGATTCGGGGATCTTGAACAGGCTAGTAAGACTACACTTAGATAGGGGCCTGAAAAGTGCCTATAGAACTGAGTGATATTGGATTTAACCTCACCTACCTACTTATAATCCCTAGGGGGTCACCATTTATTAAGTCAGGCGACTCGCTTAACTTCCTTATACATATCCAAGGCGATATCCTGAAATATGAATATTTGACACAAAAAGTATGGAACTTCATAGTCCATATAGCAAAGAAGATAACGAAAATATACACAGAGTAAAAATAACAAAACTGAACAACCCTACCCTTCCTCAATCAATCCCATAAAGCACCATATCATCTAGTGAACACCAGAAGGTCCCGTCATATTCTCTACCCTGAACAGAACCACATCAGCACCATTATCCCACGACGGTGAAAAAGTCCCAATCACGGTGGAGAATCACTCACATTCTAGAAGAATGACCTCCCTCCACCGACGTCTTCGCCGTACCACCCTTATCTAGATCCTGTTGAGGGTTCCGACTCTGGTCGGTCTGTACGCCGGCCACCGGTTCGGCATGCGGATTCGAGAGGTCTTCTCTGGCGTTGTCGGCTCTTGATCTGGCTTGTTCCATCAGGGTTCCTGGTTACAGGGTTCATGAGTTAGTTGTTGTTGTTGTTCCATTTGGTAGGAGTCATATCGGAGGTTATTGGGGTACTCACGGGCCGAGGGCTCTTTGTGAGATAGATCGGGTAGGCCTGACATATTGTTTGATGTGTAGTTATTGTAGACGTGTGACGGTCTGCCAATATAGTAGCTGCTTCCTATGAAAATAATTTAACCGTCTGAACGGGTTTCTATAAGCCTGTTGAGTCGTTAGGGTTGAGGTTACGAAATTCTACGTCATAAGGTGCTCATCAGCCTGCCCTTATTGGAAGTTGAACATGGAAGCTTTTTCAAGTACTAAGGATATCTTAACACGACGGTCCAATTGTTCCGGACATGGATTAAGGTGTGTAGTTGTATTGTACGTATTAAAATAGTCTGTAATTTCTTTCAACCTCCTCCCCGAGAGCGGAGACCCAATCATCGATAGACTCCTCCAGTGGAATCCGCATTGACACGCCTACCTTAGGGTTCGCAAGGCTATCTGCCGACGGAATGCCGAACTCGATCGTGTTTTTTAGTCATATTTAAACTTCTCCCGGATCTAAGAAACTCTAAGTTTACAGACTATGCATATTTTAGTTACTGAAATCATAGTATATCTTCAGAACCAAATTGAGAGTCGGACAATGCTGCAGAGTCGAAGAAATAAGCGTAAGAGTGATGTACGTTGTTTACCCACAGGTTGGAACGAAGAACTTGCAATTAATCTATGAAAAATCCACTAGACGACGGCGAATACTACGACCGTAAGTAACCTTAGGGCTTTTAAGTACTCGTACTCCGAGTAAGGCTGGTCCAATGGAAAGTTGAAGAGATGCCTGCAGCCCTCTCCCGGAGTGACCTCCGTATTTAGCCAGGCAATTTAGCCGTCCAAAACTTCCGCAGGTGCTCTGGAAACATTCCTAAAATGGAAACATCCCCACGATCGTCGGATTTTCCGCGTCGACCGAGCCTCCGAGAATGGGAACGTCGAAATACGGCCCCAAATACGCGTTGCTACGAACTAAACCGTTGGGGGCCTTCCTCCGAAGTTTTCCCACGGGTTTCACCTGGTGATTTCATTTCATTTCATTTCCACCCCTCCTTTCTTCTTCTATCGTCTGAGAATTTCTATCTAATCTTGGAGCCAGCCCTCTTTCAGCGGTGCTGGTCATTGTCCGGAATGACCTATTCCACGATATGCAGAGAGAAGCAACTATGAACACTGAACGCTTGGGCACTCGGAAAAACCCCATGGCGCCTTCCTGGGAAAAAAAAATGTACACCAAACCAACTCCTTCCAAATCATCTTAACTGAATTTGGACCCGTCTACATCCCCGGCAACGGGGGCATCCCGCAGATACTTCCATCGGGAAGCCAGCCATCAAGCTCCATTCCTGTTCGAGGAGGAACATGTGGCTGACTTTGATGCGCGGGGTTCATCGCAACACCTTGCTGTGAAAATTCCCCGTATGGGTACTGGGCTGGTATCGCAGGCGATTGGTAGCCGGCATATTGATTCATGAGAAAAACTTGCTGATTAGCTTGATCAGGCGGCCAGATCGAGTTTGTGGCCGCTGATGCTCCATAAACCCCATCCATAGGATGCATAACTGCGATCTGTGGCACTTCGGCATTCATTGCAAGGGTTCCTACCGGTTGCGATGAATCGGCCGAGCTGAACTGTGCAGCTTGCATAGGTGCCGGGCTCGCAGAGCGCTGTGGACTCCCACTCGGCGGTGGAGCGAGGCCGATTTCAGTCTGCATCTGTCGCTGCTGAAACCGATCGTACCAATTTCGAGCCTTCACCCCGACAATATATAGCCACCGGCTTGGGACCTTATACTTCATATTTCCGCTTGCCTCGGTTAGCCTTCGCGTCATGGCCTCTAAGTACATCTCAATGTTGATGGACTGAGGGCTCACGAATTCGCCCAGGCCTCCAGACTTGACCGAGAAGTAAACCTTCAGGAGGGACATGACTGCTACACCGACTCGTGTGTAAATGAGATTGGGAAGTTTCCGCATCAGGTCCGTGTCACAACTTAGGAAGAAGTCGAGCATCTCTTGAGCTGCATTCATCCATTTGATTGTGATGTCTACGCGAATAGCACTCAGAGGGGTTTTTGACGGCAGGTTGCCATCTTCCGGTGCTGGGAGTGCATAATATTGTTGCTTGATCGCATCGGGGTCTCGATAACCTTCGCCGACGCCGAGCTCGTAAATAGCGAGGTTGGTGAAATGGTATTCGAAAGTCATAGTCACTAACAAGGAAAAAGATGGTCAGCCTTTACCGCGCTACTATTCCGATCTTCGAGATCCCGAGGAAAATTACCGGTGAGCATGTCCGCAGAAACGTTCTTTTTCCAATTCTGCATTTGGTTGTCGAACCACCTCAGTATGACCTGGACTCGCGATTCTGTCAGCGGGGTCGTTGAGCTGGTATCATCAAGACCGAAGGAAGCCATAGCTTGGTCAACGATCTTCTGCAATTCGAACCAGGTAGCCATGTGTCGATCTATCATATTGGGTGAGCGCTCCAGATGTTTTACACATTCGTGCATCCAGTCGTTGAAGAGAAGCAAGTTGGGCCGGCGCGTTTTCATGGCAACGCTGTGTCATGTTAGCAGCTGCCCTCTACGCATGTGTTCCTCGTCCTTACTTGGAAGCCAAATGATAACACCCCAGAATTGCTCTGGCCTGTTCCGCCATGTGTTCATCATACGCACCACGCTTGCTCGCTTTGCGACTTGCATTATTCGGTACCTTACGTTTTGAGGCCAACCCGATCTCCAGGGCCATAGTGGCGGCGATATGGGTATACTGATAATTTTGCAGTTTCAACGGAGATTCTGGTGGGTAGTAAAAGACGATCATCAGGAGCAACGCCTGAACCAACTCGAACGACTTATCCCCATTAATGAAAAACCGTTCTGCGTAGAGTCGGACCAATTCGCGGTTGAGCACGACAGCCAAACTATCATCTACAGCAATCGCAGCGGCGGCAATCACGGAGAGAAAAAGCATGGGCTTCGAGCGACGCAGTTGTGAGGCTGTGGTATTCGACGGGAGCAAAACCATGGGGGCAAAAGCGGTTAGCTCTGTGATATAAAAGGACACCAACTCATTGGCAAATTCTAGCGAGAGTAACCCCCGGTCGATAATGTCGCCGCATGAGGGTTCTTCAAGGCCATAACAGGGCGGGATAGGCGTGGCAGACGCGAATGCATCAGAACCACTGTTCAGGGTGTTTGGGTACGAAGAAGATGCTGGAACGCGGGGCGAGAACTCCATGTTTCTGAAGGATCCCGAGGCACTGCTCGGGGCATCCGGTACAGTGGATAAGGTTTCTTGGGGATCAGCCCCGAAGTCAGGTTCCTCTGAGTCCTCGACTTCGCTACCAGAGCTTTCCGAGCTACTTTCTTCATCGATCCGGAAGCGGTCCTTGAGAAGGGAACGCATCTGTCGCATCTCCCTCTCCAACTGAGCCACCCGCGAATCGGTTCGCTTACGTGGTCGTCTTCGTTGGGGTGCCACGAATACGCAAGTTCTCTTGGCCTTCGCACATCGCTGACACTGATTAGGAGATTTGGGGTCAGGAAGGCAGCGGACCTTCAGACCTCGACAAGATTCACAGGATCGGTTTAATTGCTGGGTGGGGGCCTGTTGTTGTTGGAGTATACCCGGTTCACCAGGCGTTGAGGGAGTAGCCGACATGGTCTGCCGGCTTTTGCTGATTCGTGAGCTAGCGTAGAGAAGGGATTTCCCGAAGTGTTATTGATGGAAGCGCAGCGAAGGATCTGAGAAACTCGGCGACGATAACTGACAGAAACCGCTGAAGCTGCTAACGTTATAAAACCCCATCTCTTCAATATGACCAGGGATAGTACATGACGATGGGGCAGTCAGGGTTATTGGAGAAGCGATGATAGCGGCAACCTGGCCGTCACGGTCCAAACCACGCGATGGAGCAGTGGCTCCATCTAACGGCTTAGGAGTTGTATTTCCGCACCCCAAAAAGGGGAACGCCGAGTAAGCTGCAGAACGACTAAATCCAACACGTTTTCTCACCCGCTCGTGCATCCAAGCCGTACAGACACGCCGGGAAGCTTCCAATTGGGGTTCCCAGTGGTACCGATCCCTTGCACTGCAGAAGTCGTCACCCATGCTAAAGAAGGATTCAGTGTTGACATGGATGGCACGCGAAGTCGTAGTGGGCCTTGAACAAGCCCCAATCATGTGATCTTTTAGCCACTAAGTGGGATCGAAATCTTTTTTTTTTCTATTAAAGTTTCCGCTGGGTCACACACACGAGAAGATAAATAAGAACATTAACGGTTTTATTTTAAAACTGGGGCCGTTTTATGCAGTACGTGGAAAGAAGAAACTAGTAGACAAGACACCGTTGCAGCAATTGCTTAGTTTACATTCTATGTAATGGCGATATCTCTGTTCTCTGCACATTGTCCTCCGTTCCCCATGATCAGACCCTACAAAAGAGAAAAGAGAAGAAGGTAAAAAAAAAATTAAAAAAAAGAAAGAAAAGAAAAAGTCAAACAGAGGTATACTCCACCGGCGGAATCAAATTAATAAGAGCGCGGAATATATGAAGCACTCCTCCTACTCCTAGTCCTCCGTACGATGATAATGGGGAAGGTCCACGAAAGTGGGAAAATCAGATATATGGACCTAAAAAAAATTCCCAAACGAAAGACGATCACGGAAGCGTGATCGCAGACTAAAACCTGGCGAATCACGGCGATCGAGTCTCCGCAACACTACAGACCCTGACCAATCACCAGCACCAGTCTTGGCATTGACAGCCCTGTATATCCATTACTGCGTTGGGTAATTTTTAAGATCCTCCACCTGGAATTTTGTCGGATGTCGGCCCTGGTATGACGGAAATTCCCCAATCGATCCCTAACCCAACCGACCATATTGTCTGTAATGATGATCGACCCTGTTGCATTGGATGAGATCCCTGTACTACTACTAGTAGTCTTAACCTAAGTTAACTACTAGTACTTACTAAACCCCCTCCATTGGTTTCCCACCCCCCCGGCATTGATGATGTTGCCTACGTAGCGAACGACCAGGTCGAGTCCAAGTTTCACCATCTACGATATTAGGTTAGGTGGGCGACTTCCGAACTAGAACCAAAGTAAATTCTCCATGATCCATTCCCACTCTATGCCAGATGGGGAAGGTCCCTATCATTAGGTTCCTATCGAGTCTTTACCATCATTGCCTCCTCTCAGACTAGCGTTCTGACTATACTTAATATCCTGGTGTCTCAATGCCTCCAGATAGACCGGCATCCTATGTCGGGTAATAATCAGTCGGAAAGTTGGACAGTTAGTACTAACACGTACCTTTTTTTCCCCTTCGACTTCCGCCCTGGACGTACTCCAATTTACCTCCGCAGCACCTGGACTACGACTACGACTACTAAGTACTACCTGCAAGGTAAGGCCCCTGCAGGCATCCTTTGCTGGCCAATCCATTTCGGCAAGGATCCCACACATTGCCTGCGAAACGGTTTCTTATTGATTGATCTTGGGCTAGTTTGTTATATTAAGTCTACGCGGGACCGTGAGGTTGGTGTGCGAGGACTCGCAAGAATTGGGGTACGGGGGTTAATTAGATCGAATTGCAACTTTTTCTTATTTTGATATTCCGAACATCTGGAATCCCATAGCAACATGAACCCCATTCAGTTTCTTCTCCTTCTCCATTGACATTGATCCCATATCATCCAGGAATAGTACCGAGTTTTCCTCCAAATAAAAACAAGTAAGCGTACAAGTACCACCCGTCACCCGGCGAATGCTGTCTGGCGACAACGAGCCAATATCGCAAAATTATACAAAAAAGAACTCAAGCCAATTCCCTGCGCCGATTGCTCGCCCAACACGCTAAGCAAAAAGACAATGCAACCCGCGAAACAAAAGCAGTAAAATTAAGACATGGTTGCTCAGAAGCTAAAGCCTGATGCTCGAGTCATGGGGTGGTAATACATATTGACAGAAATCCAAAGTGTACATTGCCCATATCTCTCCATCCAAAAAGGAAATTATTCAAAACTGTACAAATGTAGAAATAGGTTAAAAGAAGAGAGAAGGCAGGCAACCTCATGCAGGCCGTGTGTGACCTGGGGGAGGTAGTCCAGCAGCTGCCGCTCCATACGGGAAGTAAAGCTCGGGGTATGGGGTGTGATAGGGTTGGGGCGGCGGCGGCTGGAGACCGTGAGGGCCATGGGGGGCTGGAGGGAAGGGCGCTACAGCCCGGGGATCGATGGGTGCATACGGCGCCATTGAGCCCCGTGCTGGAGGCATTGGTGCCAGCTGGGGGTGTGGACCAGGAGGGCCGGGCGCCAGCGAACCCGGCCCAGGCATTGTTGGTGCTGGAGCAAGACCTGCGTCGGCTCTCGTGGCCCCCCCAAAAACTGGGCTGTCCGATTTCTTCTTTTTACCTACGGTCTTTGGAGGCTCGGCTGCCTTTCTGGCAGCTTCAGCCGCCCGATCAGCCTCAATCTGGGCTTTGGATCGTTTCGGGTTACGGGTCCGGCCCTCCCGGTTGAACCGAGCCCAGTGGTTGAGCATGGCCTCTGTCCGCTTTGGATTCTTGGAGTTGGCGATCTTTTCGCGGCGAGCCTTCTCAGCTGGGTCGAGTAATTCATCCTGGGCAACGCCTGCCTGAGTGCTGGGGGGAGTCGCAGTTGCTGAATCTCCGCTGGGCGCCGGTTCGATTGGCGCCAACTGAGCCGTTGCAGGACGTGATTGTAACGGCCCAGCGGACGCTGCAACCTCACGGCCGTGGCCACGTCCAACTGACCGAGCTGGCGCCACTGGCGCCACGGGCTGTGGAGCCTCAGAGCCCGCACGAGACATTCCTCGCGCAGCTCCCCGCCCGCGGCCCCGGCCCCGGCCACGAACTGAGCCTCGTGAGGGGGCCGGAGAGCCTGCGGGTTGAGTATCCAGCTCCCCAGCACGACGGGTGCGAGTGCGCCGCTTGACAAATGACTCTTCCTCCATGGGTGCCGGTGTCCCGTTTAGTGCCTCGTCGGTCTCATTGGCTTTGTTGGCCGCTTCCAACTCTGCAGCCTTGCGCTTGCGAGTTGCCTTACCGACGAACTCTTCTCGCGGAGGGTTCTGGAATTTGGGAACATGCTCAACGCCGAATTTCATAATTGTTGGCCAGCCGTCAGGGTTAGGATTGTTTGGGCCAGCTTTGGCAGTCATCTTTCTGAATTGAGCCGGCGTAGGCTTGAAACCACCTTGGACGAAGGGGTTCTGGTTGCGAACTTTATCTTCTTTTGTTTCATGCTTGTAACCGTAGAGCATTGCCTCTTTCTTGTCCTCATAGACCTCGGGTCTATCGAGCTTCCGTGGGTCGCTGGTTGGCTTTACATTTTGCCGGGTTGCATGTTTGCAGAGCTTTTCGATGGCCAAGTACTCGTCTTGCCATACCTTCAGGACACTGGCAATGTTTTCGGTTATAGCATAGAGTTCATCGCTTGAGCGCAGTTCAGGATCACGGAGTTGGACCAAGAAATCTTCCAGAGGCGAGATCTCAAGGAATTCTCCTCTGGAACTCTTTGAATTTTTGTAAGGTTCTGGGCGCACGAGCATTTCAGATGTATCACGTTTCTTGACACGTTTGGGGTCATCGAAGACCTTCATCCAGGTCCCACGGATGTTGGCCGACGTCTCGTCAAAACCTCCGGAGAATTTGCTGATTTCATGGAGGTTCCAAAGGTTATGAATACGTTTGTCTAAGGACACCGAGTCCTCTTGGCGAGAAAACTCGTGAAGTTGATTGAAAAGAGCAAGATCTGACTCGCCTTCATGACCTTCTCCATCACCTTCAGCTTCAGGGCCATCAAGGTCGTTCTGGTCATTTTCGTTATCGTAACCTTCCAGGGCTTCAGCACCTTCATGAACACCGTCATCATCATCATCATCAGCGGCTTCCATTAGACCATCTTCTTCGGTCTCTGGGGCCTCATCTGCTTCAGACACTGGGGCTGTAGGTACAGTGCCATCCTCAGGCTGTTCATCGACGTCATATGCCTCTTCTTTCTCTTCATCGGCGACGCCATCATACAAAGAGAACTTGGCAATGTGCGGGTGCATTGTGGCAATGTGTTCTTCGAGAGCCTCATTTTGAGAATACGGATCGTCATCCGAGGACTCGAAGAATTTCCCACACCATGCGCACTTAGCTCTGGGAGTGGTCATGGGTGAAGGGGATGGCGAGTGAGTAGATGTAGAATGAGTATGGAGTGGCTCGGAGAATTGTCGGCGCAGCTGCGAGTCGTGGCTGGCCATGTCCGAAGTATGGCTGTCCATGTCAATGTCGCTTTGGGCGACAGGAGCCATGGCTAAGAAAAGAAAAATGACTTGGAAACTTCGATTCCAAGTAGGATATCAAAAGAAACAAGACGTAAAATCGGTATCAACGATGAGAGTTGATGTAGTTTTCACTCTTTAGGAGACCGTGTTAGTAGAACTTGGGTTGAAAAGTTCGCTTCCGGTGCCAAGACACCCGGAGTACGTGCAGCGCAATCTTAAACAACAGAGGGCAGCATGTGCAATTAGTCAAAGAGGGAAAAGAAAACCACGTGTGGTAGGTAAAAAACAGACTGGCCAGCCGCTAAAAGAAACGTGACCTATCAACAGGAGAAATCATAGTGGTAAAAACTGAACAACGGTTTGAAGTAGGTACTTGGTAGCCAGACTACAAGAGTAGCGCCGGCCAGATACGCGGAATGTAACATACCTTTCGAACTGAAGAAGTAAAGAAGCCGTATGTAGAAAATACGGACAAAAAATAATCAAGGGTGTGGGGATTGCGTGTGGTGTTGGATGACAAGTTGACGGCGAAGAAGTTGTTTGGGTCTACAGTAGCTCGCAAGCCTGCGGGTTGGTCGCGAACGGCTGCCAGGGATAGTAGTAGTAAATTGAAGTCGTAGTCTTGCCTTCTTGAAAGGGAAAAGTCGAACGCCGAGCCGGTAGGCAGAGGAGACTCGGTATAGTCCCAACCACGCTCAAGACAGAACAAGAAGGATGCCAAAAATGATAACGGGTAGAGTTGATGATGAAGGACAAATTGGCGACTTCGAGAGCAGTGTAGTAAATTTAGATGTCCGCAAAGTAGAACTTTGTCGCGGTAAGGAATTCGGGCGGGTATGCAGAAAAAGAAAATGGGGGGAAAAAAAAGACTATGCTCTGAACCACGGGCGAACCCGAAATAACCAAAGGCTCTCCAAGCGAAACTGAGCACAAGTAAACTCGTAGTAGAAAGGAAAAATTGGAAACCTTTAGAGAAATCCTCCGCTGGTAACATGCAGTACGAGGCTGTCGAAGTGGTAAAATCTTGAGCGAAATAAGCAAGTTTTGCTTCCAATTACACTCGTGAAAGAGAAGAAAAACGATGGGTACAGTAGGGCAGAAAGCGCAAAGAATTAGTGATGAAGCAGGGACCGAAGTAACAGACAGTGGAGCGAGCTGTTTGGAGTAGACGTTCCTGGGCGAAAGGACGTTGTACAGGACCAAGATGGAGTAGTTGTTGTCATGTAGTAGTAGAGGAAGTATGAACGTCTGACGAAAGGTTGGCAGACAGATAGAAGAAGAGAAGTGGGAAGAGACAAGAGAACTTGACGCGCACAGAGGGGGGTATCGAGAAGAAAGACAAAGGATAACAGTGGGAGAGGATAGAGGATTCGAGGAGGAGGAGAGGAAGAGATGTCGCGTTGTGTTGTAGTGAAAGATGGCAGATGAAAAAAAATGACCCTACTAACAGCCCGACAGCAACAAACCTCTTCTCTGTATACAATAGGAGGTAAGGTAGTGAATTTACTATTGGTACCATACGGTATGAGAGGTACGCGGATTAATTACCTACCTAACCTGACCTGGTCAAAGCATCGACGGGCATGGTTAAGTCTAAAGGCCCTATTTTACTCCAGTACGGTAGTGCCATATTTCTTACCTTATTTTACCTGGCCGGGACCCACCGTGGGCAAGTCGATTATGATGGGCCTCCCGGAAAAAAATCGCCTCCGGACAGATCTTCCGCCTAGCCGCATTACATAGTACTGTTCAACCAATCCGAGCCACCGTGTACTAGTAGTTTTGTTACCTGTCTGTATTCCAATGTACGGGCACAAGTCCCAATCTGGCATTTCCTTTGAAAGTACAGCACTGACTCCGAGTACGTATGTACTATGTGCCTTGGCCGTCTCTCTGACACGAGAAAACCAACCACTGATAATCATTCTATGTATTTGCTGAGTATCTTCCAGCTGATTCTAAGGAACATGGGTCTCACAAAGAATAAAGATAATATCATTGGAGGCTACCAATTAGTAGCTCCCTGGGTATCAATGAATGTTTCACAGACCCTGCCAATTATTCTCTGCCCTGCAATGTTTCTCAATGGATGGCGGGAGGCTGTAATTTTATTCGGTTCTGTAATCTATGATACCGAACCTTGACATCATATCTGCATTCGGTTACCACGACATAAGTCAGTCGGGTCCACCAACCTCTACTCCTTAACATAAGATATAACGTATTCAACCAGATAGACATGTATAAATCATACCGATTTATTGGAAGAGATGCTACGTAGTGGTTGATGTTAAAATTTGCAATCTATATACGAAAACCAGAGACGGGCAATAGAAATTACTCATAAGAACATGGAGCGTCTAGCTGCGTCGTGACTGTATTCTTATATGTATCATACATTATGTCCCTTTAATGGTTTTTCTCTCCAACATCCAGTGCAACCAGAAACCGACTAACACAGTTGTAAGCTGCCGCAGTGGCAGTGATCTCCACAACCTCTCGATCATTGAAGTGTCTCTTCAATTCTTGAAACACTTCCTCGGGTACAGTAACAGTTTTTGTCATGGCGTCTGTATACTTCAACACCGCAGCCTCCTCGGGACTTAGCACCTTCTCCTGCATTTTCTGGAGGATGTCAGCCTGAGCATCACGAACGACCTCCACCGCTTCCGCACTGCATCCACCTTCCAAGAGCAAGGGCGAGTGCTGATCCCATTCGAACCAAGCTCCGTTGACCACAGCGATGCGGCAGATGATAAGTTCACGAATAGCTTGGGAGAGGCTAGTGCGGGTTCGGATAGCCCCGATGAACGAATTCCACCCATCGGCAACTGGAAATGAGTGCAGAAGGGCAAGATCCAGAGGTATTAAGCCCTTTTCACCGCGTCGAGTTTGCACCCGATTGAGGATTTCTGCCTCTTCGGGAGTGGTAGTAGGGGGTGGGTTAGGGACATATGGAATACGCATGTCGAATAGTTTCGCTTAGTAGTTATAATTTTTTCAGGCTACTAAAGGATAGTAAAGCGGATGGTGATTGTCTTGTTGAATTATTGAAAAGTGAGTACTAGATAAATTGATCCGGTAATCGGTAGACTAACCTCCTTTAATGAATAGAAATGCTGCCCTTAACCGAGATACTATACAGGAATTATGTTCAGGAAATAGAAAAAGGTCATCAATTGTACCATCAGGCTTAGATAGGTGGGAAGATACCACTATTTATGCCGAGTCATTCATCGTCTTGTCGTGCCCCACGAGTCGCGGAAAAGTATGCGGGATCGAATCCGAAGCCGCGGGTTGAACTATAAGGTCTCCCCGCAGACCGTTCCTTCGGTTATCAAAAACTGTCAAATACAACTCTTTTACGTGATCCCGTCATGAATAAACTTACTTGTAACAAACTAAGCGAACAGCTTTGTAACACCTTAATGTCTAGCAAAGGGGGTCCGTGTCTACTGGATCTATTGTCAGCTCATAACTGAAGATGATCCTCTAATTTAAGCGAAGCGCAAAGATATATCCACCAATATGTATACTAACAAACGTCTGGACAAAAGAATTACATGCTAATACTGTACAGCGAGGAATAGCTTCTATGAGTACTGTCAATAGTAATGACAATTAAGGGTTGATATAGAGCAATGCTAGTTTTAATGGCAGTCTGATATACTCCTTGATTATAGTTATCTTCCTTGTGTCAGTCAATCTCTAATTGCTCGAAACGAGTCTATCGTTCCTATAGTAGCATACTCTCTACTAGTGAAGCTCGGTGTTCTTCCCATCCGAGTCATGTAGATTCAAGATTCATGACAGAGTAATTTGTTAGGCCCAGATAAATACGACTTCACAAATTTTTCAGTTACAGGGAAAACCATCGAGGCAGTTATGAATGTAAGACCTAGGACATTTGCTTGTTCTTGGTTCCCCAGACTAGATCATATCACTATAGCGAATACTTTAACTTTAAATGAGGTCTACTTTGATATATGTCCAAAGAAATGTTGGTTTTTTTCTGTTTTGCCGGACAGTATGGAAGATGGAGCGTTCGAACTCGTAAGTGGTTGAGCCTACTACTAAAAGGACTATCAAGGTGTGCGATTCAGCTGTCTTGCTAGTGTGATATCAGAGCTATATGCAATTTGACTACCCGCAATATTGTACTCCAATGCAGTCAGGCTCCATATGGTCTGTAGGTCTCATCCTCATCATACTGACCACTGCAACCGAGGTATGTACTTGGCCAGCGGCGATGCCATCATGCGGCGGAGTTACCATGATGAAATATTCTTGAAGAAACTTGGCCAGAACCAGTCACCAGCGACCAATATGAAGACGCTATGAAGCGTAAATAAACAGAGGTAAACAATCCAGCCAGAAATTGCATGCTCTACAGGAAGACATATTATGATATGCATTTCCTAGTATGCAACCGAGTCTACTACTACTAGTAGTAGTAACTGATTTACAGTGGACGCTAACGCTTCTTGGCACAGGTCATCCGGTCTCCACCGCCCAAAACACTGAATTCCCTCAGGGAGCATAGGCTAGATAATTTAGTCCAACTCCATACTGTCTCCGCTCTTCAGTTCTCAACTGATGGTAAACACTCACTCGTGGTGAGAACGAGTATTAGCCTCACACGATGCCTCCGAAGTCCGCGAAACCAACTAGCGATGAGCTTCTCGCTCAATTTGACGACCTAGGGGTCGACTCGACCGCGGACCAGCCTACCTCCAAGCCAGCTACCACAGCTACCACAGCGCAAACCGAAGACGACATTCTTGCCGAACTTGATAACCTAGCCTCCCAGCGTCCGAGCAGTGGGCCCGGTACCCCACGTCTATCAACAAATGAGCCCAGGCCGTCTGTCAAATCCCCTAAACCTGCTGCAGCTACACCCTCAACTGGACGTTCTAGTGAGGAGAAATCTGTACCCCGTAAGTCCACGGAGAGTGCCCGGGTTTCATTTGCTGTGAACAATGATTCGGTTGTGCAGCCACCCAAGATCGAGAAACCAGCAGTTAAAGAGTCCGCCTCGGGTGGTGGTGGTGGATGGTGGGGAGGCCTTTTCGCAACTGCAACTGCGACCGCCAGTGCTGCAATGAAGCAGGCCGAAGCGGCCGTGAAAGAAATTCAACAGAATGAAGAAGCCCAGAAATGGGCTCAGCAAGTGAAAGGAAATGTTGGCGCACTGAAAGACTTCGGTATGTGCCGTCCACATGCAGCTCGCACAATTTCTGACTAACGAATGTTATCAAGGTGGTGAGCTTCGAAGCATGGCAATCCCTACGTTTACCAATCTTATCCACACTCTTGCGCCCCCAATTTCGTCCCATGAACGCCTTCAAATCCACATCACTCACGACATCTCGGGCTACCCCGCCATTGATCCTCTTGTTTACGCTGTCTTCGCTCGCGTGATGTCCCAGGTTGAAGGTGGGGACCTTCTTGTGATTCAACGTGGTCAAGAATCTGCGCCAAAGCGGGGGTTGGATATAACGGGTAGCCAGTCTACCCCTGGCTGGCGCGATGGCCCGTGGTGGCGCACAGTTATGCCTGGAACCCCTCGCAATATCTCGGCCGTGCGTGGCTCTGTAGAGGCTAGCAAGCTCGCTCGTGCAAGCGCGGAGTCTTACGCCACGGAGTTCTTCTCTGCAAAGGGTGGAGTCGAAGAAGCTGCGAAACAAGCTAGCCAGGTTCTGAGCGAATCCAATCCTGTCCGGAGCAGCGATATCTTCCTCGCCATCCAGGCTATTAGCCAAACCTCCTCCACCGAGCAGTTCCAGGCTGGTCCAACCACTGACAAACCGACCCCGCCGGGCGTAGTTGATGTTCCCAGCGCGACGGAAGAGGAGGTGACCTTCGCTCTCTACCTCCATGACCCCATTCACGGCATCGCCTTCCACACGATCTCCCAGGCTGTTCCACAGAAATGGATCCACTGGCTCGATGCAGCTGTCCCAGCCACCGAAGACACTGCAGCCGATGACATGTGGCACCGAGCCCCTGTTTCGGAAGACATTGCTGAGATTATCGAAAGTGGCGGCGTCGACCCTCGTGAATGGGCTGCGGAATGGATCGAAGAAGCGCTCACTTTAGCTATTGGTGTTGTGGCGCAACGCTATGTGGCCCGGAGAATGGGTGTTGGTGAGGCCGGGGCTGCAAAGGGTAAGATGCGTGCTGAGCAGGCTTCAGTCGTGGAGAGCGGTGCAGGAGAGGTGGCGCGGGCGCTCTAAGGTTGTTTCGTTCCATGGCTGTCTCTTTTTCAGTTGTTCTACTTGCGACTCTTATTCTTAAAGACCATGATCAGATGATACTCTAATGCCGTTTTTCTCCTTGTTCTTCTGCGTTGCTTGTCTGCGTTTCCATAATACAGTCATGCCACCACAGAGCTATTTGCAAATACATTTATCGCCTCGTAAGGCGTACATAATCCTCGACCGAAATCCTTGGTCCATATTATATATAAAATAAAAAAAAAATCATCCAGCGATGCAACAAAAGCATATATGCGACAGCCGTATGTTCTCCCCAATGCAATGATTGAATCCAACAGTGAAGACTCTAGCGCTATAAGCCGAAAGAGAGTCTTCGCGGGTATCTAGTTATCTCATCATCTCATGTTGTTCAAGTTTTCATCTCAATCATCAAGATTAATCGGCCCCTCCAGATCAGGGACATGCCAGAAATTGGCACGAAGAGCCGTGACGCTAAGACAAGTCAGCTCCGATCCAAAGTTCACACTCAAGAGAGTTTTCGCTGGCAGTGTCATACCTGGTGTCACCGTTCAACACCGTATGCGCATCCGTGCCCGCCCGACTCGACTGCAGGGTCTTCTTCATCTCCGATAACTCCGCAGCCCAGGTGAAATCTATCTCCTTGAGATGCGACCTACTCGTCCCGTTGACGGCGGGCCCAGTGTGTCCATTCACCTTCTTATCCGCGGTCACTTCGCCATACATACAACCGCGCGGCCAGTAGTAGGGCAAGGCCTCCGTCCAGCGCACAGGTCTGCTCTCCACGTCCACCCGCATCGGCACGTTCAGATTATACAACTCAACATCCGCATGCCAATGCTTGGACAGGTAATTGACAACCTTCACGGCATGTCGCGCCGCGGCGCTGATGATGTCATCCGGCTGCGGATCTTTACTTCCAAAGGAGATAGCGATGGCGCGCTTGCTGCAGGTGGCCGCCTCGAGGGCGCCACCGACCGTTCCGGATGAGAGATTGTACACGGTCGAGGCATTGCGACCATGGTTCGGGCCGGAGATGACTAGATCGACGGGGGGACGATCTTGGAAGAGGTTGAACAGGCCCAATTGGACGCAGCTGGCCGGGGTGCCATTTCGGATGACCACCCATTCGGGCTGGGTCTCGGTCTCTGCGGAGTCGAAGGTCTCATCCCATGTTCCGTCGTCCCGGAAGGCAGAGGGGGGTACGTAGGTTGCCTTCAGGGAGGCTTCTATCAGGTGGGCTTTGCCGATCCAGGATCGGGAGGCGGCGGGGATGGCTACGGAGACGAGGTGACCTGCGTCTTGGAGGGCGTTGACGAATGGGCGAATGTAGGGCGAAAGACGCTTCGAGGGCGGTCCATCATCGTTCACCACCTATTTTCTTGCAAATCCGCGGGGGGTTCTGGTTAGTTCTTGTCCTATTGCTTCTCCGGTTTGGGTTGGTTGCATTGAATTCATTTTTTTTTAAATGATTTGTCCGTAATGGTCTTGTGACACGGGGGGGGGTGAACCATTGAGGGAAAGGCGACAAGGTTAGAAGTTCCATACCAAGATATGCATGTTGAAGGTAGTTCCGGTCTGTCGATCTATAGGGCTTGGCGGACGTGGGAAAATCAAGTGGTGATGAAATCGGGATTCCGTCGGGGCCTTTCTTTTTTGGGAACTACAATCTTTTGAATTGCTTTAGATCTGCTTCTTCTTCCAGGCCCGAGTTTGGCATCCGCATAGTATTTATAGGGCAGACTCTGCTGGGTAAAAATTGAGCCTGGCGTGCCATTTTTCATTACTGCATACCCCGACTACTACCGAAGACATACCGGGGAAAGTAGTCTCCAAAGTGGTCACGGTGAAGATGTTGGAGCTGCGGGGGGTCCCATCTCGGAATGTGGTATTGTATATTGGTCATGACTGAAACCGTACCCCCAGTGAGAAGAGGAGTAACGAGATAAATATGGAAATATTACCGTACACAGGGATACATAACCAGACAACGGGTATCCCAAAAAGAGGCTGCGGTGAAGAGCCATCGCACTCGTGGAGAACGACAATGTCACCGTCCGCAAATAACGGTTAGTGAGCAGCTGGGAAACTAATCAGAGCCGCGGCAATGGAAATTCTCGAATGGTCAGATGGTCTTCATCGGAAGACTCTGTCTCAGGAGAGCCATCAGGTGACGTGAGAGAACGCCGAGTTGGGTGATGTTTATATACTCCGGCATGTCGTCCTTTGTTTCAGAAGGCAATATTGTCAAGATACTCGACGGTGTATATATGAGACATAATGCGAGACCGATATGTAGTACTCGACCCAGAAGGGACACACTCTTGTGTACTAACTTATAGGATTTGTCCGCCGAGTGTTGTGTTCTTATTGAGATCTTGTCTCACATCACTAGTCCGATCTGACTTGGTTTGAATATCTCGGTATGGCCAATTGCGGTACATTCTCGGGATGCAGCCATCAAAGATAAGATATGATTTGGGCCAACAAGTTGAACTCCCTGTCCCAGGACACTTATATTTGGCTGTTAAGGGGGTGTATGCATGAATTCATATTGCCGCCTGTTAAGGGCTTCAGGGCGGCTCGTGCAATGTCTTCCTGGATAGGTCTAGCGCCTTGAGACCTTTGGAAGCGACGTTACTTTAATAATTCATATCCACCGAGTGAGGATCCAGGCTTCACTTCAGGAGAAATATCGGGAGACACTGCGCATTCGAAGTCCGAGGTTTCCCAGTTAGTGAATGAGTTCAATGAGCCTCCGCATAATATTCCCTTTGGGCAAAGAGAGCTGAGATATTAAAATATATCAACAGCAGGAATACTTCGATATATCTCTAGTACTACCTGTATCTCCTTGGGCGATATGGAAGGTTACCTAACGTGGACCTTACTAGTCGTTTATGATTACTCCTCCGCATAAGGACTTATGGCCGTGTGAACGGTACAATCCGTGCTTTTTTTGTCTTTTCCTTCTCTTTGTTTGGCGCATTGTGAGGCGACTTCGGATCCAGTGGAAAGAGGATCATGATCACCAACACTACGAAGTCCTCACGGTGGACCCATCCCAAGAGCAAACCAGAAAGGGTCCCCCTTCTAGAAGAGTATGATCCCTGTTCATGATTGACTGATTGCAGATTGGATTTAGTGTTGTTTAAATAATGATAATCGGTTCTTGATTCCCTTTTTTTTTTTTCCTCTTTTTTTTTTTGTTTGCATTTTCCATAGCGGGTCAGGGTTGGGGATTCGCGAGTCAGAATAGTCAACCAAGGGCACATGGGGCAATGCGCCGAACGCCCCGTTCCACCATTCCTCGTTTTCTATGAGATGATTCTGTCGCGTAATCCCAGTCTTGTCATCTTTTAAGGTCCCTACTCAATGCATTTTACTAGTCTTTGACCTCGCTATCAAAATCAACCAACCAGCAATAGAGTGCGGATCAGTCGGATGCAGCGGTGGTACAGAAAATTTCAAAAAAAAATAAAAAATAAAAGAAAAAGTTAAATAAAATAAAATAAACCTAAATTAAAAAAAAATCCAAAACCCTCCGTAATGAATGGAGGTGCAGTCAACCTACTGACTAGCCGGTCTGACTAGTACTGTGTAGGACGGAGTACAGGAAATCATTTCAGCATCGCTGGTCGATCACCACGCAGGAATCAATTTCACTGAATCTGTGTACCTGTTGATGATCTTTCCCTCCCCCCTCCTCGTGAGAGTAAGAGTGAGAACTAAGACATTTATCCTTTATAAACGTTCGCAGGAAGTTATTTCCATCTGAAGTGAAAATAAAAAAAGAAACCTCCTTTTTCCCCCCCCTCTTCCTTCTTTCCCCCCCCACTGCATTCCCTGGAATCAACCACCCAAAGTGAAACGTGGTGAAAGCACACAATCAGTCTTTGGTCTGTGCGGAACCTGAACTGAACTTATCAGTTTTAGCACCGGAAGGCCGATCGCCGCAAAATCTTTGGTGGGGAACCAAGTCAGCGCATTCGAATTTCTACCTTCCAAGTCACACCATCATCTTTTCATCATCTCACCTCTGTCGCCTTCTTGCCGTCCTCCGAAAGAAGTGGTATTGTCCGCTATTTAAGAATTCTGCGTCGCGGTCGGTGCTCTTAGTTGTTGTGAGAGCCTCCGTCCCTGAAACACGACGTATCCCCAACAACATACGCGCCAAGGCCTTGTCAGCTCCCTCGAGAGTCAACCATCTCTCTCCCTTCCCATCCCCCTCCCGACTCCCATTCCCCTGTATGGACTGCGGGAGTACTGGTACGGCTGCGGGCATTGACCCCAAAATTCTGGATAATTGGCAAACCGACGCTACCTTTTCGATATCACCGTGGGAACATCCGCCATACGAGCAACCGCTAGAGTGGGACAACAGCCAAGACTCGACCCAGGACGATGCTGATATCGTGGAGTTGAATTCCCTCCATGGGTCTCTGGCCAAAAACCATTCCAATGCCGCCTATTTAGATCAATCCTGTGGTTTCCACAGTGGTGAGAGCAGGTGCGGTTCCCTCTGACCTTTTCACTCCCTGCATCAAGCTGATGGGGTTTGCCCTCGATAGCAAGACGACCTCCCCGGAGAAATTTAGTATCCACGATGGACCGATCGAGGGTACCGTCAGTGGCACCGTCAGTCCGAGAACCTTGCCATCCTCGGCCGACGATAACTTCCAGCTGGATGAGTCATGGCCACATTATCAACTGTTCAACGCCATGACCGCCGGAATCCCCATGGAAGCACCGCCGCTCCTCTATCCCTACAGCAAAGAACCTACCGCCTCGACGAACACCGTCATTGTCGATGATGTTGGGGAGCTCCCACAGGGGCATGGGCTGTCTGAAATTTCATCCGAGCACTTTTTGGCGTTTCAGAACATGCCCCAGCCCTTCACCTTCAATGCTCCGGACGTTTGGACGGAGCCGTCTACTAACCCTTCCCCCGAGAGCATGGCGAATCAAACAACCTCAGCTTCGATTCCGTTGGGATCGGAACTGCCAAACAAGGAAATGAACCCGGTCCGCGATTTTCAGACCCCGTTGAGGTCCCTCGAATCGCGCTGGCTCGACAGTCTGGAGTCTCAACTTCCTTCGAACATGACTTCACCTGCCTCACTGTCAACTATTCCACAGGGACCGGGATTTTTCAAAGAAGAAAACCCGGGACAAGATGGGTTCCAGTACAAATCGGAGAGCTCGTCGGTGTCCGGCGACTTTTCTGCTGGTGTATACGAATGCTCCTACTCTGCGACGAGTGATGATGTCCCGGCATTTGCTGAGCGACAGCTGGACGAAGAAGGCCCTTGGAAGGGCGCTCAGAAGGATGAGCCTGAGAGGGCGCAGCCCGTCCAGAGCGCGACGGCTTTTATGGTGAGCGAGACGCCATCCGACTCATTCTTTGTTTCGGTCCCGTCACGATCTCGGGCATCGTCGTCGGCAGCACAGCGGTCGACCGCTCGGCCACAGGCGCTCGCACTGCAGTCTGTTGCGACCGTTCGGAAACGTAAACAGCGCAGCTCGAACCATTCTTTGGACCTTGGTCAGCCCAAGCCCCTGCAGATTGTACAAGAGGATGGCCAGGGCGGATCCATCGCTTCAGCGGACTTCGTATCCCCGCCACGTGGGGCGCGTCGTAAAGGACCTCTGACCATGGTCGGTCGGGCAAATGCTGGACTGCGAAGGAAGAACAAGGACACCTGCGTGCAATGTCGTCTAAACAAGCGAAAGGTATGCTTCCCTGAGATCACTCTTTCCATCCATAATGGGTACTGATGAGATGGGAAAAGTGTGACGGAAACGCTCCATGCGATGCTTGTCGTCCTACGCTCCACGAGCAACCATGCGCACGGGCTTGTTTTGCAAACATCGTGGAGTATGGAACCTGCAACTATGTCTGTATGTAAACACTTGATTTGTTCTCAATCTGGTCATATGCTAATTTACCTAGCTCAACGAGCCGTTAACCATCCTACATTGGATAGGACAGGTCGTGTTCGGATGGATATTCCGGTAGAGTTCGACTTAAACGATCTCATATCTTTCCTCGGTGAACGGCAAGGACGATTCAACATCCGCGCCAGCCAAGCCTGGGGTTCTCTATATGTTCTGGACCTGGGAGAAACTTACAAATTCTTGAGGAGCTTGAGCGATTACAATGGCAACTCTCGGTCGAATTTCCTCGAGTTTATTGACCGACGGATAGTCGAGTCGAAAGATAAGTCGAAGAACTGGCTGACCTGTGTCAAAGACTGTGACCCAATGAACAATTTCTATGTGAGTGCCACAACCACCTTTATCCGGTGAATAAGACCACTGACGCTCTTGAACTTCAGACCTTACTCTCACGTTGGAACAACATGCCCAGTCGTGCGAGCTATAGTTTTGTTCCTCTCCACCAAGGAGCCCAGGAAAGGCCAATGGATATTCATAATGCGGACGACCGACGTGAGATTCTCCTAGCGGCGCAGCTTTCCCGCATTGTGTGCCGGATGCTGGAGGTTGAAGGATTCCGAAAGTTGGAACGAGACTTCTACAACATCAAATGGAAGCAAATCTCTCAGGAGACGCACTTGCGTTTCTTGAACGAGCTAGGAAATATTCTCCTCACACTCCGTTGGCGAGTTTCCTGGTGGAAGCGCCTTGGAGACGGTGGTCAAGATCCCGACCCGAGCAAGCAACACTATGTGGATCGGGTCGACCTGCTCTGTAGGATTCTTTATGTTTATTACACCTGTGTGTTGGCTAAGCTTCCTTCCTGGTGCGCTGCCGATGTTCCCAAGGGGGTGTGGTCTACGTACGCCGACACGGAGAATGCGGTCTGGGATGACTTCCCAGTAGACCCTACCGATGAAGGATTCCAGAACTGGATCGACAGGGGCAAGGAGCTGGTCGAACAGGCCGGTGCCCCGAATGGGACCTCCAAGATCGCACATTAGAAGGTGCGATTAAGAAAAAAAAAAAAAGAAAAACTATAAAAGGCGAAATCAGTGGTGGATTGGAACGGAAACAAGATTTGAGATACCCTTTACAGCGTCTTCTTTATTCGATTAACATATCTTCTTTTCCTTTTTCTTTTGTTTAATTTCCTTTCCCGTCGTCGTCTCAGTTTTATGATTTACGATGATTCGGTGATTTTATCTTGGGCTACGATTGTTATAGAACTCGTGTATGTATGTGCCTACAGATAGTACATACTTGCTTTCTCATGAAATATATAGCAGATAGACATACTCTTCTTCTACATGCTTCACAGGGTTCAACCACAGTTCAACAGGGTATCTATAATATCATTACTCGTATCGCTATAGTATACTATCGAACAAATCCCCAGCCAACCATCGTCGTACCCAAATCTCCCAACACCCATCTCTATTTGTCCAAGAAAAGAAAAACATGCCCAGAAAATTGTGTGAAAGAATCTATCCACCACACCATATTCCCAACATTTATTTCCCACCCTTATTCCCATTCTCTTTCTTCTTATCCTTCTTCCCCCCAGCAAGCAACTCCAAATGTCCCGCCTTCTGCGCAAGATTCCGCTCCGTCTTGGAAATCAACCCAGCCGTAAGTTTCTAGAAAAGAAAGAAAAAAGAAAGACCCTGTCAGCAAATCTTGCCCTCATACACCCCCCCCCCCCATCATCCAAACAAATAGCACACAAAAAAGAAAAAGAACGAAAAAGAAAACAAACCTTAGTCATCTTCTGCTGCTTAATCAACGACTGCTTCTTCGGAGCGATCTGTCTCGGACCTGGCTTTGGGCCGAGAGCACGGGGTCTATATTTCAACCAGAAAGGAAACCAAATCAGCCTCTGCGCAATAATATATAGATCACCCCCAAACCCATCCCAGATTGCCACCTGCTGCAAGGTTTAAAGATGGTAGTGTAGAATGTAAGCGTACCGTTTTGGGCCCGTGGCGGCCTTCTTTTTCAGGGAGCCTTGCACCATTGTTTTTTTTTCTTTTGCTTAGAATATATATATATATATATATTCTTGGTGACGATTATGGTCTGGATTGTAAAAATGTACTGCCTGCAGCACTTGGGGGAGAGTGGTTTTGGTTTGGGGTTGTTTTTGTGGTTTTTTTTTTTAAGGCTTGGAGATGATGGGGTTGGAAAATCCTTATCGGGAACTTTATCTGTCACGTGAGGGGGATTTACTTTTCTTTTTGGGGTTGGTGTGGGAGTGGGGATGTTTGTTGTATGGGATTATCCAGGGGATTATTATAGCTCTTTTTGAAGATAGATATATGTTTATCTACTATACTTTACTTGGTCGTGTATAATCAAGGGTATGACTACAGAAGACCGAAAGTGTCGAAATCATATGGCATTAGAAAAAAAGAGATTGCTAAATCATGTCCATTTAAAGAATACATGAGAAGTTCATTACATGAAGAGAAGGTATCAAGTGAGCCGAGCGATCGACTCGAGTAGTGGGGCGTGTGTTTTATGGTCTGAGAAAACACCCCTAGGTTGAGGTGTCACGAAGAGCTGATATTACTATCTGCTAGAAGGCGGGCCTTCGGAGAATAAAAGATGATGGGAATTCTTCTGTACAATATGACTGGGACCGGTTGACTCGGATCGCCAGGCGCTTAGAAAGCGAGGACAGCAAGAAGACCAGCAGCGGCAGCACCGAAGCTGATGGCGTTGCGGTCAGCAGCGCCGGTGAACACAGGGACAGCAGGGGTGGTGCCAGAGGCAGTGCCAGAGGGAGCAGAGGAGCTGCGCAGAGTGGTGGGGAGGTAGGGGGTGTTGGTGGGGGAGACGACAGGGACGCTAACACCGCCAGTGCCCCAGGAGTGAGGGGGGATGACAGGAGCGCTGGTCGAAGCAGTAGGAGCGGCAGTGGCGGGAGCGGTCTCGGTCTCGGGGCAGATAGTAGTGGTGATCTCGTAAGTCACGTAAGAGGTGGCAGAAGAAGAAGCACCGGGGTTGGCAGCGCTCGAGGTGGGAACCTCAGGAGCAGCGGAGGAAGAAGAAGAAGAAGCGCCGTTAGGGTTGGAGATACCGAACTGGGTGGAGTACTGGTACTGGCCAGTTCCCTCGACGACCAGGAGGAGACCGTAGTGGGTGACATCGGCCTCAAGGGTGGTGCTGGGAGTCCATTCGAACTTGCCGGTGTTGGGGATCTGCTCGGCAATAGTCTCGAGAGTCTGCATGTTGGTGCTCTCGCCACGGAGAAGGACCAGAGAGACGGTACCCTCGGTGGTAGGGCCCCAGGTGATGGCGTAGGGCTTGCCAACGGGCACGGCCTCGTTCAGACCGGGAGTGTAGATGGGGTTGCCAGTAGGACCCTGGTTGTAATCCGGGTCGGTGTGGGCAGTAGCCAGAGCCGCAAGGGCAGTGAGAGCACCGAAGATGGAGAAACGCATTTTTGCTTTCTTTATTTTAATTGGTCAGATATCGACGCGAAAAAAAAATAGAGATGATCTCGAGGTGGTGTGCGAGAGCTGGAAAGCTGTGAAGCTGTGTATCAAGGAATGACTGGAGTGGGATGTAGTGTCTGAGACAAAAGAATGACTGGTGTGCGAAAAGAACGACAACACTGAAGGAAGGAAAAGAAGAAGAGAGAGAAAGGACGAGAGGAGGGGAGAGGGGGAATAAAAAAGGATTCCAGAGGAGTGTCACAGCAGCTAAGCCTTAGGGTGGCCTTGTCACTGACCCCTTGGGAAGGGGAACAATGTCTTTTCTTGCGGCTCATTTCAGCAACAGTGGGGCCATAAGAAATGAAATCAAGATGGAGTACAAGTCTCTCTGTCCAATCCTGAGGGGCGCGTGCCTGGCATTCGTTGAGACATCCTAAATGGTGGAATGCTGGACGCTAACCTCGCCATCCTCCGGATGTTCAGGCTCCTGAGAGAAATGGAGGATGTTACCCTCACCGGACTGAGGGGCCACTGTGACTGGGTTGTCGCAAATTTTAGTGAATGGCAAATGCTAGTTCAACAAGATCTTGGAGAAACTAACAAGAACTTTGTGAACAGGCCTGAACTCTGGGAGGTTCCCTTATCCTCATGATTGGCGGATGATAGGTTCAGTGTCCAGCAATTAGGAAGCACTAACAATAGGAGACTTGACGAAAGGGCATGAATGAGGGGCCAAAATTGTAGACCCCCTCGTCTTGTGGATCTTTGGCCATTTTGTTTAGGGTCGTTAGTATCAAAGACTAAGGACTAACGGTGCCGAGCTTATGAAGTATGTATATCACAGCCCTCGTTGTTGTACCCTGGCAAGTCACATTGCATGGGGAGGCGTTGGTGCCGTATCTCGTATAATTTTTTTTTTACTTTTCCTTGTTTAATACAAAATCAGGAATGTGGCATGTCAAGCTGCCAGAGAAAGATTTGTGGAGGCTGGTTTTGTTGAGGCATGAATCTGCATAATTCTGATCGGCAGAGGAAAAGGAAAAGGGTTAAAAAAAATAAAATAAAAAACAACGCGGGGGCGTGATTAATTCTTGGCTTTCAGGCACCCAACAATGGGGCCAATGGATGACTTCAGCCTCTGCCGTACAGGAGTACAGAGTACGGAGTACATACAAACTACATACCGCGTACATACATACAGGGAGTACCATGTACATACACACCCTTGCCTTCATCCCTGGCGCATTCTAACTTCCGGAAAATGTCCGAACTTCCACTTCTCATTCTCTCTCACACACACACGTTCAAACACGATGGAATCGTGTTCACCCTCGAGTTCTACTCGGTATCCATTTCTGTTTTCTTTTTTCGGATCTATTCATTTCCACTTCCTTCGTATGCTTCACAGGAATCGTTCTCTCTCTATTCCAGACGTCAGATGAGATGAGATGGGCGCCACAAGGCTGTGTCGGTCATCTTTTAGCCGCCAGAGAATGAGATTTTTAATTTTAATTATCGGAGTAATCAAACTAAGTAGGTATCTCGTGTCCACTTTCAAGAGGGGAGAGAAAGAAGGAAAAAAAAAAAAAAAGGTAATAACAATAATAATGAACAGTGGATAATTTTACTGTGTTATTGACCCCCACTCCCACACAATGCAGACGCTGTCACGACTTCACCACACGGTCGCTGGACAATTCGTCTCACAAACCTTTTGTTTGGACTGAAAAGGACCCCTGACTCTGATCCTGATCCTTGCGATAAGCCAATACTGATAATCATAATGGATCCCCGCAAACCGAGAAGATCGCAACTTGAGATAAAACTTATGAAGTCATCCCGTGTCTTTTCTCGGGAGGGATGTTCGTTGGCTTTGTCGCTCATTTCTTGTTCCTGACTTGGTCGGTGGAGCCGACTGACCGTTCATCGGCCACTAAAATCTTCCCAACGGGCTGACAGTCTGATTGTAGCTTTAATTACGGTGCCCTCCGTGGGAAATTACCCAACGGCTCAATGACCAACCATGTCAGGTACAAAGCCAGCTCATTGGAAAGAAGAAGGAAAGAAAATCTCCGATGTAAAATCGCCGCAACCCAGACTCCGTGGCCAAGCTAGGCACTGGATCCTGTGACTCAGGTCGGTCCAATCCGAAAGGCTGGAAGATGTCCGTTGTCGCTGCAAAGTGCTACAGTGTCACTACTAGCCATGTGCCATAGACTGCAGTGGCGTCGGAGACTAGTGCAGGTGTCTCGGATGCTGATTGCTGAGCGCATGTTGCCTATCTACTGACTAGTTCTGCCTAACCCATGGTTCAGCCGAGGTGGAGTTCGCTGGGGCTAAAATTAACATGAACAGGGCGGTGGTACGAGAGCCAAGCATCGCCTTTATGGCTGGTTGCTCGAGTCGGATTTATCCATTGTCTGACTTGCACTGCCCGTCAGCTATCTTTAGCTTGAATGTAAAATCCATGGCTGGTGTATTTGGTGGTGAATCTTTGGTGGGTTAACTATGATGTTTAGTGCACGGCCTTATACCGAAAAAGGTACTTGCGCTTTTTCCCTATGGAAATAGCGGTCAAAACTGGGACCAGTCCATCCGAAAGCACACTGAACTACTGAAGATGGCATTTGTGCTTTCGAGACGGACAATGCAACCTTACCAAATCGCTTCCCCAGTTCCCTCCTCGGCAATTAGAGTGCTGATTGGTAGTTTCTCGTTTTGATAAGGTCTAGATGCGGTGCTACTCATGAGACAGGCCCGGAACTATTGAAATTGGTTTCTTGGATGGGATGGGGATGACATCTAATTTTGTACCCTGGGCGCGGATAAATGGTACCTTTCGGGGAACCAGGCAATGTCTCAGAGCTATCTACTGCACCCAGGTAACTGTCTTGGTTTGCAACCACTCATCGTACGCGGCGGGTCCTCCGAACCGGCCATACCCGCTGCTTTTCCATCCACCGTGTGGCAAGACTGGTTCGTCGTGCACGGTGAGGGAGTTGATGTGGACAGCCCTAAAAGCTCATCAGCAAGTGACACGAGAAACCCGTGCGAGGGGTACTCACCCAGACTCAATCTGCTTAGCTACCCGTAGTCCCCGGAAGAGATTGTCTGTGAAAACTGCGGATGTGAGGCCGTATTCGGTGTCATTTGCCAGCGCCACGGCGTCTTCTTCAGTGTCGACAACCATGAGAGAAACGGTAGGGCCGAATGATTCTGCAGAATAGAGGTCCATATCCTTGGTGACATTGCCCACGATCACAGGCCGCAGGCTATTGCTGGGCTCCTCAGAGAGATCGCGTTCTCCAAAAACAAGGTCGGCACCCTTCGAAAGCGCATCGGACACTAAGTGCTTGTTTTTCTTGACTGCGGCGGATGCTACAAGAACTGGTGCCGGTGTATGTTTCCCGAACACTTTCTCGGATGCATCCACCAGCATGGTGCGGAATCGGTCTGCGATGGACCGCTGCACGATGATGCGCTCGGTGGACATGCAGATTTGACCGGACTAAAATCATGTCAACAACACTAGTGACAACCATCAGGCAAGAGCACTTACATGCATGAACGCACCAAGGCTACAGCACATGGCGGCTCTCTCTAGGTTGGCATCGTCTAATACAATAGCTGATGCCTTACCGCCCAGCTCGAGGACGACAGGCTTCACATATTTGCCAGCGGTTGACGCGATGATAGATCCAACTTGGGTACTGCCGGTAAAGCTGATTTTGCGAACGGCTGGATGGGCAATAAGAGCAGTGGTAACAGGCGCTGCATCAGAGGGTCGGTGGTAGACCACATTGAGACATCCTGCAGGAAGACCAGCTTCCCGGAAGATATCGCCAATAGCCCAGAAACACTTGGGGGACAGTTCAGAGCCTTTTAGAACTGCTGTATTGCCTGCAGCAAGTGGAAGAGCGATCGAGCGGGTCCCAAGTATATAGGGAGCATTCCTAAACGCAGATGGTTAGTAACCACAACCCAAGTCTGTGCTGATTCGTGCTTTGCATCTACGGTGGGAGGTTCATACCATGGTGCAATTCCCAAGACCACACCATAAGGCTCTTTGAAGACCATCGCACATTCACCCTCCTCGGACACGGATGGGACTGAGCCCTCGATGGACGGAATTCGTGCGGCAAAGTCCTTGATGAATCCAGCACCCAGTTCGAACGTCTTCTCCACGAACATTCTGCCCGCGCCTGTCTCCTCCATTTGATACCTGATCAACTCCTCCCTTCTGGAAAGCATAATGTCTGCCGCCCTCATCAGGATATCCCTACGGTCATACGGCTTTGTCTTGCTCCACGCGGAGAAGGCTGCCTTCGCCGCCGCCACCGCACGGTTGACATCGTCAATGGACGCACTGGCACAGCGGTCAATGACTTCACCCGTCGCAGGGTTATGCACATCGAAGATGGTTTCCGTCACGACCGATTCGTTGTTAATGATGAGCGGGATCACTCCCTTGCTGTCCGTACCGCTTGCAGACATCCTGGTTGTATTTTTTTTTTCTTAACTCTCCCCTTTCGGAACCAGCAGCGCCCGTGAAAAGGAATCGAATTATTGTAAGTCAAGTGAACGTCGTTATAAAGGAGTCAAGGTAGGTTAGCGAGGGGAGAGGCGTATTATATGTAAACGGAGAAAACGGGCGGGAGAGCAAAGGACGATCACAGAACGACGGCGCAACCAAAAAAGACTGACGGTTCCCAATAAGCATGGCCGTTGGAGACACTTATGCAGCTGCTAAAGTGAGGGGAGAGGATTTCGGTAACTTCTCCGGCAGTGGAGCCGACTCTGTGCAACTCCCGGTCCAGGAAACGACGATCTGGAGCCTTCTTCGGGACTACTCGTGGGTGTTACAGTCTTCTCATTCGCTCCTGGGAGTGGTACGCTTTGCAGCCCAATCGAGAATTTAGGAGTTCGTCCTTCCTCCCGGAACGTGATGGTCACAATTTGTCTTTGTTCATTTCGTCTTCACTGCAGATAAGATACGCAAGGGATGCAGGAAGACAACCAATCCAACTCCCACTCTTGAGGATGATCCTGGTTGTTTGTGCATGACAACACCATCAACACTGTCCGACTCTGACTCGTTTCTTTATGTTCCGGTACCCCCTGATGTCTGCGCTGCTGGCCAGGATGATGTTCGAGGCACGTCACTAACCTACGCCATGCATGCATGGAGAACAGCATTGGAATGCGGCCACGGTGGGGTTGGACACCGCAATTGGGTCCAATCACAACATGCTCCCACTTGTATGGTTCATTGTGCCCAATTTGCGGCCATGCTGCTTCCCGGCGTCTTCTGTAAGGTACCCCGATCCGGCTGTAAACCCCTAAACCCCTAAATCCTTAAATCCGAGAGAGCAATTGGGGTTGTTCTTGTGAGTGCTATTGGTCGCTACCATAAGTTACTTATTCCGTAAAACCGAGGTGGGTCTTCCAGATTAATAACGTTGGCAATAACATGATCTCCCAAAGTGTTTTCTGATATATTGACGCCCCCTGGAGAATCGGGACTCGGGACCTCTCACTGAAAAGATGTCCGTTCAGATG